GTTATAAAACTTATGTGCCAACACAGCAGCAGCCATATTTTGAAGTGCTCAGGGGGTATAAAGATGATTTTCAAGTTGTAAAATGACTCATTGTTCAAACACATTTTCCCTGCTGATTGATACACCTCATCATCCCCCCTTTTCCTCCAACCCTTTGTAATATACAGATGGTGTGTACAGAGGAGATAAGCTGATCAACCTGAAACAGATTGTGGACGAGGCTCTGAAGAAGTGCAGGGAAAAGTAGGTCCTGCTTACAAAGCAACAGTCTTTCCATTCTCAGCAGCCGTCCTTGTTTACACTAGCTGCTGCTGACCTTGTGACCCAGCCCTTAGCATATGAGTCACTGGACACACAAACACAGACAGACAGCAAAGACCTATCAGCTGTTATCAGAGAGGCTGAGGAAACGCACCACCTGGTCTCCATATCATGGGGTTGCCGGGCAACATGGAGCACTCAGATTCATCAGGGAAGTCCAAGCTGCTCGTCTCCCGTGGCAACATGAGTCTGGGAGAGATGTGAGCTGAGAAACAAAGCAAAAGAGCAACAAAGCAAAAATTAAAATTTTGAATCAAATTTTATTGTTATGGCTTTAAATGTAAGTTATAAGTCATGTCTGTCATGGCCCAGAAGTCCTGGGTACAAAAGCACTACTCAGAGGCATCTTTTGTAAACTGTGAGGCAGGTTACTGCTGAAGGGTGACGTTAGCAGGCTGGCAATACACCAGAACAGGGCAAACAGAGCAAGCAAAAGGCAGAGGATACAGGGGCTGCTCTAATTAAATGTGCACATTTCAAATTTTTTATTCCAGTTTATTACAACTGGGACCTTCAGAATCAGAATTCATTGTTGTAGTTATGACCATTTTTCCTATAACACTGCACTGATCAAGTCAACTGTTGGGATCTGGAAAAGCAGAATCATCATTTGAATAATTCAGGTTTTCTACAACTAAGTTCTTTATAATCATATTTCAGCAATAAATAAATAAGATAGTAATTTGAGATTTTCACAAGTAAAAACTGTCAGAATAAAGTAAAAATAAATGTCCCATATAAGAACCCACACATGCCCCAAAGGCTCACATGATCCAGATATTTTTTAAAAGTGGGGCAAGATGAGCAGTAGCCACCAGGGTTAGTTGCTCTTTACTGCCTCTCACACTTTCTTTATTTCCTCACAGAGCGCCACCTGGCGTCACTAAATGCCTTGTCGTCAGGCACTATACACTGAGGATAAAAAGTGGAGCTGCATGCAACAAACTGCAGGTAAAAACAAAAACAAAAACAAAAAACTTCCTCCAGTTTGGGTTACAACTGCTTTAAGCCATGACATCAATTTTGTATGGAAGATTAAAATGTAGATGTTAACACACCCAGAAGGAAGAATGCCACATCAAAATCAAATCTGAGTCCTTTGGATGTTTTTAATGCGCTCCATCTCAAAAAAAAGTAAAAAAGTCAAACTGGTGGTTTTTGCTCTTTGTCCCACAAAAGAATATCACCTTTTCAGTCTGAAAGCTACTGTTTCAGACTTTTAGCTGCAGAGAGCTCCTCCATGGCTGTCTCTCTGAAATGACTACTCATGGTTCAGAAAATACTTCTTACAACATTAGCTAGGCGGCAGGTGGAGCAAATTTATGGACCATACTTTGACAACACAGGGCGGAGAAGCTGGAATAACAACAGAAGCTCTGTAGGCAGCAGAGTGTCATGAAGGGGGCGAGAGACATCACATTCTGTCCCATAGTTTTAGTGCACCTTTAAAAAAATTGGGATAGTAGCTGAAGGAGAAACAGCTTTTTATGCCTCCATGCTAGCGATAGCTATGGCTGGATGTCTTATGTTTTCAGGTTGTCTGTCTGTCTATTCGTACAGCTTATTGACCTGTCTGACTTTGGTGATCACATGTCAAAGGTCAAGGCCACAGTGATCTCACGTTTGTCCCATTCCCATGAATATGACTGGTTGGCAGGGGCATACAACTGCAAAGCTGAATGTTAGTTTGTCATTTTAAGGCCTTTCAGTGGAAGACGCACATAAGCCATCAAACTACGCAGATCATGTAATCCATCATCCGAGGATAAAGCAACAAAATAACCAAAAGATTATGGATTCAGAATATGCCTCCAGAGATCAAAGAAAATTACAGTCCGTTCATCTCACATAGTGTGTTGCTTCCGGCACATGTTGGGAGCAGATGGAATGAGCGATTTTATGTGTTGGATTTGTTACCTGTTGTTCTGGTACGCTCAGACTCCCTGGAACTCAGAGTGTGATGTGTGGTGGGATGAGGAGATGAGAGACTCTCCTGAAGAGTGTGAACCCGAGTGGCTGGACGCTGAGGACCCACTGTTCATCCTCTACACCAGCGGCTCCACTGGCAAGCCCAAGGTAACACATAGGTGCATGTAGAATTTTACAGTAGAAATACAGTCTTGCCTAGAAAAGTTACATAAGGTTCATTTTTCTGCTAATACATGTTCTGTGAAACCACATCCGTAAAACAAATCACAGCATCTATTTTCTTCTGCACCTGTAATGGTGTTGACCATGCTGGCTTTTACATAATCTGCTGTTTCTAGGGAGCATTAATGGTTTTTTAGTGCCAAGCGGCAAAAATACAATAAAAAAAAAAGCAGTTTGTATTTTGGTTTTGTATGTCAGAGCATCGAATGAACAATAATCATCTCTGTCTTTGCATCACACACACACACACACACACTGGTGTCTCTCCCTGTGTATGGTGCAGGGTATTCTCCACTCTGTTGCTGGGTATCTGCTCTTTACATCACTGACCTTCAAGTACGTTTTTGATTATCACCATGACGACGTGTACTGGTGCACAGCTGACATCGGCTGGATCACCGGCCACTCCTACATCACCTACGGCCCACTGGCAAACGGCGCTACGAGTGTTCTAGTGAGACAAGATTTTCTCCCTTTAATTCGATTCTTAAAAATTCACTAAGTGCATTTAGAAGTGACAAACATACAGAAGCCCCATAAAGACCAAAACATTGTAGCATTTATTATCTTTCCCAGAGGTGCATGTTTTTTCCAGTTTGAAGGTATTCCAGTACACCCTCATGTTGGTCGGTTCTGGGAGGTAATTGAAAAGTACAAAGTCACCAAGTTCTACACAGCTCCTACAGCCATCCGTCTGCTGATGAAGTATGGACACGAACCACTGCAGAAGTAAGCACCTACATATTTTGAAGTCACAGCAGAGAGAAGTGAATGATGGATAATAATCATTTCTGGCTTGCCTTTGCCAGGTATGACCTCTCCAGCCTGAGGATTCTGGGTACTGTGGGTGAGCCGATCAACCCTGAGGCGTGGCAGTGGTACCACGAGGTGGTTGGTCGGGGAAGATGTCCCATAGTCGACACTTTCTGGCAGACAGAGACGGTAATGAACAAACAGTTCAGCTGGTTTACATGGACAGATTAACCTCCTAGAAGCCACTGTGGCAAAAATTTGTTTTTGACCTCCACTATACATGACAGCTTCATTAATTCCCCAGACACCGAGAAAACAACCATTGCTCTAGAGCAGAAATGATTAGGTGATCAGTTTGACTAATGATGAATTATTTGTCCTTTTTTTTTTTTTTTAGCAAAACTGTCATCAATTTACAGGTTCTGGCTTCTCAAATGTGAATATTTGCTAGTTTCCCTGTTTTATATCAACATCTTTGGGCTTTTAACCTTTGTTCAGCCAAAACAATATATTTAAATAAGTTAACTTGATGATGATGATGAGCACTGTGTGATGGTTCATAACTTAAGGGAACAGATGCAAGCCAGGGACAAGGAGGTAGTGGTGAAAAGTGAACCAGGCTTTAATAATAATGATGATAAACAGCAACAGGATCACAGGTAAGCAGGATACTAGTTCAGATGCCAGTAAACAGGAGTATGCTGGTATAATAAACATACAGCTAACAGGTACACCGGTAATGCCTGATTCAGGTAAGAGCAACAGTGACTCTGGTAAATACACAAAGTAGGTAAACAGGAGCTTTAAAAATTAGTTGACTTAGTTTGGGTCACAGGGGGCAAAATCCAAACAGGCAGGCCAGGCAAACAGTTCAGATGAGGACAGACAAATCAAATCCAGGAAGAAACTAGGGTTCATCCACAATCAAGATAAACAAAGAACAGATCTGAAATCAGGAGCGATCAAAACACCCTAACACAAGTGGATTCAGCATTTTAAACAGGGCAGCAGGCAGGATCGGAGTCCAAGGGGGAAACAGGTCAAAATCAGGACAGGGACAAAGAGAAGGAATGCTGGAGAGTCATGGGAGATGTTGGCAATGGAGGAGAGCTGGCTGCTGGCTTACTTTTCATTTTATACATGAAACAAGCAATATACAGTGGAATGCATAAGGTTAAAAGTGGATTTTGACACAGGGATCCTCTACAGCACCAGAACCATACAATGGAGGATGGTGCAGATTTGCACCACTAAATTTGCAATAGAGCAGAGTAAGACCGGTGCATTTACTTTAGTTCCATCTGATATATGTTTGTATATGTCATCAACCAGTAATCAGTATCTTTTTTGAACTTCTTTATTTCTCTGCAGGGAGGTCATGTTTTGACTCCTCTGCCTGCTGCCACACCACTGAAACCAGGCTCTGCTGTAAGTGACAACACCTCCGTTAACACTGATCACCTCACACACTGACATTTCATCGCAAGTTTTAAACATACCCATATCTGCTGAGGTTTCTCAGTAACAGTCAAGCTGGTAAGGAAGAGTTATAGTCATCAGTATTTCTTATTTAATCACCACAGGAGATGCTGTGTTTCTTTCCATCAGATGTTTATGACACAGGTTATAATCTGGGACAAAGACTGCAGCTATACAGGACCCTACAGTCGTCTTAAATTAAATCCACATCTCATATTTCAGACTTTTCCTTTCTTTGGAGTGGAGCCAACCATCCTCAATGAACACGGAGAGGAACTGGAAGGTGAGGCCGAGGGTTATCTGGTAAGTTTTAGTTCAATTCAGTGCAACTTTATTTAATCCTGTAAGCAGCTTGCCACCCAGATCAACAGATACCCCCCTCACACAGACATTCTTGTTTTTGTCACTTGTTTTTGTCTTTACAATGACTTACTGTACATTCATTTCCTGGAGAATTCACCTAAAATTCAATTATCTAAATCATCTGGTCTATGATTTAGCTCAGTAAAATGTCAAACTAATCGCTGTTCTGAATGGTTGTAATCATAGAACATCCTGTATAAATGAATTTTATTATTATTAATGGTAGCGACAGGAGCAGCAGTAATACCTCTCATGTTTTGTTGCAGGTTTTCAGGAGGCCCTGGCCTGGATTAATGCGCACTGTGTACAGAGACCAGGAGCGCTTCGAGAGCACCTACTTCAGGAAATTCCCAGGATTTTATGTGACTGGTGATGGTAAAGCACAACAATTATATTTCATCTTTCACCTGGAGATTAAGCAACAATCCAAGTGCAAGTGCTAAAATACCAGGAAGCCTCCTGAGGGAGAGCAAAAAGATGTTATATAAAAACCTTTCTGGGTTATGCAACTTGCTTTCAGGCTGCAGGCGGGATAAAGATGGCTATTACTGGATCACAGGCAGAATAGACGACATGCTGAACGTGTCAGGTATTGTCCTGCGAGGTGGACCGATAACACAGCGGCTGCTGAAAACACCAAACTGAGTTATTTACAACCACAACTTGCAGCCTTTCAAGAACATTTTTCCATTTTATTATCACTTTGCTGAAGTCATCTCCCATATTTTTCTGATGACGATACCTATAACCTGGTCTGTTTTTGATGTCCTCCAGGCCACCTGATGAGCACAGCTGAAGTGGAGGCAGTTCTGATGGAGCACCCAGCTGTGGTGGAGGCTGCAGTGGTGAGCCGGCCTCACAAGGTGAAGGGCGAGTGTCTCTACTGCTTCATCACCCTCAATGACAGCCTGGAGTTTAGCCACACAGTGGTGGAAGGGCTCAAAAGACTGGGTGAGGCTCAGAGATCAGTTAAAGGAAAATTCCACTCAAAATAATGCAGACTGTTCTTTCAAGGATTTGACTGTGTGAATTTACGCTTTCGTTTCTTGTATAGAACATTCTATTCAGATACAAAATAAAATATCAAATATGAAGACCGCTGTGACAGATACAGCTACTGGTGACAAACCTTTGATTCCAGGCTTCCAGATGTTCTTACAAATAAATGTAAAAGATACATAAAAATTAAAATAGAATAGAATAAATATATCAGATATCCTGTTTTGTTACAGTTTAAAAGTATCTTCTGTGTTAAACAATCAGACAAATGAATGCTATAATTGCAGGCTTCAATCGCATGAGAATTTGCTGTAAAATTTTCATTACAACTATAACTAGCAGTTATTTTCATTATCACTTAAATCATTTTCTCTATAAAAGTATGGTAAATTGTGGAAAATGCCTATTATGAGATCTTACAGAATAAGGTGGTCTTATTTTGTTTGACGTTTGGAGTTAGAAGAAGTGATTATTTGACATTTTTGCTTAAAATGCCTAAAACTATTGTTTGATTATCAAAATGTTCAATTAATTGTCCATTGCTGAGCTAGGCTAATTGACTGACTAATTGTTACAGTACCATATCAATTTCTTGAAAGAGTACATAGTAAAAGAGTACCCACTAAGAAAAGGCAGAAAAAACTAAAGACGAAATGACAAACTTATAAAAATGGGGGGCACCTACTTTAAGCATCAGCTGTAAACAGGTTTTAAATGTCAGTTTCTCAAATCGAAGAAGCAGATCTTTTCTCCAGACTTGCCATCTTCCACCAACATCTATCACAGAAAAAGAAAATCACTGTATAAGATCCAGAGGTAACATTATCATTAGTTCGTTGGCTCAGTGCACCAGAATTCAAAGCAACTTTAAGACATTTTGTGTAAAGACCTTATTGTTCACAAAGACATACAGACACATTTGAATGAAAGCAATTTCACAGTCTTGTTTAGTTTCAGCCCAGACAATGTGTATTCTGCCTGGCATTCATTCCTTGTCTGTATCCTTGTAATAGTGAGAGAGAAAATCGGACCAATCGCCACGCCAGACTTCATTCAGAACGCTCCAGCACTCCCCAAAACTCGCTCAGGTAACAACTCGACAGCTCTTGAAACCAGTGCTCCTCCTCCACTACTCTAGTCCTCATCCGTCTCCTCTCCTCAATTCAGGGAAGATCATGAGGCGAATCCTCCGACAGATCGCCCGCAATGAGAAGGACCTTGGCGACCTTTCAACCCTGGCTGACCCAAAGGTGGTGGAGATTCTCTTTAGCCACAGATGTGAAGCAGCGGCCTGAACAAACACCTCTCTTCTAACTATGCAACAGTACAGATGAGGACAATTACAAACTGCTGGTTCTGGATCAACGTCTGAGTGTTTGTGTGTACCATTTGGGACTGAATGAAGGAGATGGGGGCGGGGATTAAGACACTTGAAAAAAATCTAATTAAATCAATGGTGGCTTCATATGGGGCTGTTACCAGCTTTATAATATCTTTTATGCATCACAGTGCATCTTTCTTCTACTTCTAGTCTTTCAATAGAAAAGTCAGTGTTGTACAGCTTGTATTTGACTGACTGATGTGTATTTTCATTCTGGCACATTATGATCTGAGATTAAAGTGTCTAATCTGTTTCTTGCCTTTGTCCTTCTACATCCAAGCACAGCAGCTGTTCAACGCCCTCATGTGGCAGGAATCACGCTCTGCAGCTGCAGTCTGATGGCTTTACTGTTTTCTCTAAAAGCCTTTTTATCCTCCTGCTGAGGCATTCTGCCTTTTGTCATTTAATGATGCACGGAGCACACGAACACAGCTTTGATGATGTGATCAGTGCAGCAGGGAGCAGCGATTATGGAAAACAGACAAGGAGGGAGGCTGTTTCATCTTAAGTGCACTGGATTCTTTTGAAATTACAAGCATTACTGATGTTGAAAAGGACATAAAAGGAGCAATAAACTGTTTTTTAAGACATTAGATTGCAGCAGGTTGTTATGAAAGTAGCTCAGATGGACATCTCTGTTATCTTATTGTTAACACTCGGCCACATACGGTCAGTAGACTTCCTTTGTTGCTACCTCTACACCACTCCATGTCGCTTGTGTGTGTAGGTGGGGACGGTGAGGAGAGAAGAGCCTAGAAACACAGGGACGGGCGATGTTATATCATCACCCCCAGCAGCAGAGAAGTGGTTACCATGACAACCTCTTCATCCCCATCACCCTCTACCACTACCACTTCTTTAGCTGCTTCCATCTCCTCCTCATCTTGTGTCTCCCTTAGCCTCTGGTCACAACAGCAGTCCGCAGATGTTTTGTAACCTGACAACGCTGACCAGGAAAAAAGTTTTAGCTACCAAATTTGTGTATATGATTTTCTGATTTGGTTTGTAATCATTGCTTGTGAATTACTGAGTAACTTGGGGTAGGTGGGGACCTTTTACACATCTGTGGCCAGGGAGCCTCATCTCATAATCTGTCCATTCATAGGAGAGTCCAGCAGTTAGAAATGTAAGGGGTAATATTGTAGATAAATTATTTACAAATGTGTATGGAGAGTTGTGAACCTGTATCTCAAGATGTGTGTAGGCTACTCAGACTTCTGAGATCTGCAAATATGCATTCATATTTGGGAATGCATACTATGTTTCTTCACATCTCACGTTTCCTATGTTCAGAACATGTTTTCTTTGTAGGATGTACCGTCTGACTCTTCGCCAGCTTGAGTGACGGCCCTGTTTGTTTACACCCAGGTTCAAACGGTCATCATCGTCCTCCTCACAATGGGACTGTCTGTTCACTCATACAATAGTGTGTTTCTTCTGGAGCTAAAATCCCTTTAACAAAACTTGACATCCAACTTCTGCCATGCTGTTTCCCCAGCTGGAACACACTGTTAGCAGCCACTGCTCTGGTCTTTGGGCCCTGGCAGCAGGACGGGCTTTTTGTCACATGAATAATGATGTAACAGAAAGTGAGGACAAGTGAAAGGCCTCCATGCAAAACTCTCACTCAATATTAATTCTCCTCAGTGCCAAAGCTTTTGCCTGAGCTGAGAGGCTTTTTGTATTGTTGACATGACAACCTCTCAGCTAATGGCACAGCCAGGCCCATTGTGTCGCCCATTGTCTGTTTGAGGCCTTTGTACACAGCTGCAGGCGTGTGCAATTTGGGTCTAATATTTGACAGATTGCATGCAGAACAAGGCAGCGTGGAGCATCAGAAAGGTTAAATCTGTCAGCAGGACACAAGGAGAATGAGAAGCAGTTTAGCAAAATTGCTTAAAATGTCTCTTTATGCATCTCAGGCTGCACATGCAGGTTTTTAACTGTCTTGACTGCAGGTCACTTTATTTCTGATACATTCAACCAGTGAACAAAAACAACGATCCATTAACCTTCCACAGAGGATTTGCCTATTCCTCATGGTTTGTTAATGTCTTTTGATGCGTATTCATGTTTACTGCTCAGAAATATAAGTCATTACAGAAGGTGACATTTTAGGCAACAAAGCTGTAAATCAGTAATTTGACTAGTGTCACCTACTGATGGATTTTAAGAGCCAAATCAAAAGACAAAACAAGTTACAGTGAAGGATTTACACAAGCCAAAGGCATTTTTGCAGCCTGTCAAGCCAAAACAGTTGGAAGGTGTATAAAACGTTAGTCAGTAAATCCTTCTTTTAAAACGTTTTTTAAATGTCATTTTTGGCTTTTACTGGTGATAGTGAAGAAGCCGACAGGGCACAGAAGGAAAAAGACAGGAGTATGACGTGCACAAAGGTCACTGATTGGAAGCAAACCAAGGACGCTGCAGCTGCCTACTAGCAAATAATTGGTAAGGGATGGTTCTTATTTACAGGAAATAGAAATAATTTTTAAAAAATCCAAAGTGAAAAGGGGCATCCTGGCTATAATATTTTAAAAATTAGCACTAAGAAATTCCATACACTGGCTAAAGCCAGAAACAACAACTGCTAATTTTAGAGTTTAAAAAAGGTCAACCATTTACACTGACGCCCAGTGTTCAGATTTACTGTAGCTGTCAGCTGAGACAGCAGCTGCAAAACGCCAGAAAACAAGGCATCAAGGTTCGTCTCATCCATCCCTTATCTATCCCACAGAAGAGGGTCACAGAGGGGCAGCTGGAGCCAATCCCAGCTGACATTGGGCGAGAGGCATGGTATACCCTGGAAGGTCGCCAGTTTATCACAGGGCTGAAATCAGAGACAGACAACCACACTCACTCACTGGTAATTTAAAGTCGCCAGTCAACCTAAGCTGCATGTCTTTGCACTGTGGGAGGAAGCTAGAGTACCTGGAGAGAACCCAGGCATACACAGGGAGAACAGACCAGAACCTTCTTGCTGTGAGGTGACAGATCTAACCACTGTGTCGTCCTGGCTGTATCCTCTGTGGGAAGTGGGAACACAAGGGGAAACTGCTTGAAACTAATTGAAAGAAATGTCCAAACTGCCACTGTTGCATTATTCATGCAGCCAGAGAGGAAAGTGTGACTCTTTTCTAATCATTGCAATCACAGTCATATTAGAACAAATATTCAAAAAAAGCTTCTTTTATAGAGGCAGTTCTGTAAAGTCACAATGATTATTCTGTTATTGTTATGGTAGTTTTTCCTACCAGCAAAATTGCACCAAGGGTCCTACATTTTAGATTTATTCATTAATTTATTCATTCTGCATTTTTTGGGCTTCAGTGAAGATCATGCTGTGAAGCATCATAAAGTTTTGACACCATTTTATGAGACTTTGTGTCTTTCATTTTAAAATTTCCACACAATACTCACTTTGGATCAGGAGATAATTGTCAGTGTCTATCCTGACAAACATCCAGTGACCACTGAATGACTGCTATGAGCAGCGGAAATGTATCAGAATAAACCTCTGTAGGCTGTAAAGTGCAGTCCTGTGTTTAGAGAGTGGTGTGTGTGTGTGTGTGTGTGTGTGCGTGTGTGCGTGTGTGTTTGTAAGCAGGGACTTCAGGGCTGGTGTAAATTATTCAGCAGTGGTGGGTTTCTCTCAGGACGGACAGAAGTAAAAGCAGAGCATCTTCTTTCCTCCTCTGACCTGCTCAGTGCCATCAGCAGTTCCCAGTGCATTAATTATTCATCGTTATAACTCTGTGAGAGCATAAAGAGTCCAGCTCTCCACTTCTGCCTCCTAATCACTCTCTTTCC